TGTTTCTTAGTGCATTTCCCAGAACTGCAGCTTTGTAGACTTCTGCCGTCTACCTGTGTTTACATTCTTTTGCCTGCTTCGAAGCATCCTTTTGCCTGCTTTCTTTACATCCTTTTGCCTGCTTCGAAGAGTTTACCTGCCCTAGCTTTTCTCAGGACCTTTCAGCCTTTGTAATATCCAGGTGTTACTATATATAAGGATGCGTCTCAAAGTAAATCTTTAATAATTCATTTACTTACAAGAAATCAACAGCCAAATTCCTCACTTTACGGTAAAAATACTGGTATTATAAAATGGCTGAAAACATTATTCACGAACTCAATACACAATTTAGTGATATGGAGCTAAAATCCAAAAATAAAAACCGAAATAAAGTTGAAGATTTCACCACAAACAAAAGGTGCAAAAATTATAACACGGAAGAGCACTGTATGCCATATCATGCTTTGATGGACAGCAAAGACATCACACACATTTGTACGCTATGTGGCGGCAATCTATATGCTGATATCACTATGGACGATGTGTTAAAGGAAAATCTGCGTTATAAGTTAATTTGCCCACGTGGCTGTGAGGAACTGCCAAATATAGCAGAAACGGATAACGGCAAACAATATAACAAGCAACCGATGGGAGTAGAAGACCATGCGAACATTCAGCGACAATTACACAGTAATGGAGTTTATATGAGCAACTATAACTCACATCAGCCGCATAATATGGTCGCAATACCATATCGCGATTACAGATTCAATCTGACCACCGATCTTATGGCCGCGCGATCTGCGCGCTTGAAGCAACTCTTGAATACAATCGATTGTGATAATTGTCATCGTGTGAGTCTCAATGAGAAGTCCAATCGCTTTGAGGCCTTCAAGCGTAAGAATGTACGGCGTGCGGAGTATGAGTTGAACAGGCGTAAAAGTTATAGTAGAGATGGTAACAGTACAGCTCCAGACTTCAGCTCAGATCTATCAGCTATGGCAGAGTCTATGTTTGAGTGTTCGGAGCGTCTACGTCGTTTCTACAAGCAGAAGGAATACACGCTGGGTTGCGAAAAATGCGGAGGCATATAATGGAAAGGAGAGAAATATAGTTCTTTGACATGACTAAAAGAATAGAACACAAAATAATATGTAATAATGCATCAAAATGCAAAAAAAAAATACTTTAAATAAAGTTTCATATAATGCACCTAAAGAAAAAACTTGTTTATTTTGTTATGATCTCTTAATATCTAAATATTGTATTCTCCTACTTTTCTTGAATTTACGGACTACTTCTACTGTTCCATCTCTTCCTCAGAATCTATTTTTACCGGGTTCCTAACACTTCTTTTATCATTCAGGTCTGCACTTTAACCAGAGAATGTTTGCGCTTTTTATATTCTTTAATATTATCTGCTTTAAAAATTATGTTCGTGTAGCTTCGAGCAGAAATGTTAGTCCCTTTTAATCATGCACTTAATATTTATTTATCAAGTGTACACACATTTTGAAATATACATAAATATAAAGGTAGAAATTTAGAAATACATAATATAACTATTATAATCACAAATTATAAACTAGATCTCATAGCGCTCGTTATATAATGAAAGAATTCTACTACAACGTTCTCGTTCTCTTTATGTTCCACAACGCCAACAAATTGTAGGGCCACGAACAGCATTAACAATACCACAAATGTACAAACCAACCATATGCAAAATCTGGAAGTATTGAATTAATAATGAGACGAGATATTGTTTATATAGCAATTAGAAGTCTGACTTCACAGCGCGTATAATGAATCAGCCGCAAATGTGCTTTTAGCTAACTTATACGAACTCTATCTAAATTTTTAGAGCCCCTGTGGGGTTTAAATTTTCTTACTTGCACATCCCGTGCTTGGTTTATTTCCTTCGTAGCTATATTTCTTTATCTCTATTCGCTTTGTATTAATGTAGAGAATGTTTTCTCAAAAAGCAAAAAGCAATATTCAATATTTCATTTTACATATTTTTGAATATTTGCTGCAAAGCTCCCAGTTAATAAAAAAATTGCTTTCGAAAAAATTGTGCAATCTTATTTATACATATTTGTTGAGTGAGTTCAATATATGTATATTATGACTTTGAACCAACACTATGTTTGGCAGGTCAGCAATATCTATCGTTAATGTTCAGGTTTAGTTTCGGTAGAAGAGTTGATACAAAATCGATGAATCGACTTGGGGGTCTTAAGCATTGCTTTGTAGAAAATTTAGAATGAGCACGTCTATTAAAATTTTTCTTTAAATGCAACTATATAATGATAAATGAAGAGTGACTAAGACAAAAAAGTGATCTCATGAAGAGAGCTGATCTGTCACTTACCACATGATCTATTAGATCCAAGCAAAGCTATAAGAAATTTTATTGATTTTTCATATCAACTCACTAGAATCTGCATACTTTCAAATCCAACGGGAAAAGCGACGCCGTTGATTGTTCTGTGAAAATATTACAATACCGAGTTTGTTGAAGTGAAACCCCTCACAGAACAGAGACGCCGCTTAGTGATAGTTTGAATATAAATTAAGCTAAAAATGATGCGATAAAGCCCCGAATAAAAACTAACTTCCGCCCGTTTTAACAAGCTTGTTTTATTACCAGGACACTTATTACATATCGCGAGATCACAGTATCGAAACCTTAGCAGTTATACCAGGTATTATTAAAGATTCAAACAATTTACTTTAATTTCACGAAAGCGTTTTAATTTACATAACCTTCATTAAAAGAATTATATAAAGCAATATAAATATAGTATACATATAATGGAACTAACTATGTAAATATAAACCATAATTTTTAGTAACAATAATTGAATAAAAGCTAACACATTCTATAACACAAATCACGCGTAAGCTTTATGATGCTTAAATCTTTTTAATAGTATTGCTGGAAAAGTCCTTTAAAAGTTAATGGGGCGGCAGTCACCATATCTTCTATCATTTTCTTATCGGATTCCTCCCCTTTATGGTGAAATACTGTAAAGTATACGATAAGACCAATTATGAGGAACAATATGAGCACCGAACCAAGTATGCCCAGACAGATAGTAAAGGCACATTGGCAGCAGCTGGAAAAAATACAGGCACCAAAAAGATATAGACATAAATATTTAGAAAATAGTATGATATTTTATTTGCATTTATATGTAGATGTTTTTTCGATCACCGGAAGATAGGTGTACAATTCAGTAAGATCCAAATTTCGAAAAGTGAATATCCGCTATAGCAAGCTTTAATATTTCTCGTACTACTTCTAATAATAATAGCATTATGCGGCAGAAGCAAAGGAAAGTTTTGTTAGAAGACCCTGAGATCGAAAATTTAAACATCAACTCTATAACTTTGAACTTTGAAAATAGACGAAGCACAAGTCCATCATAAGGTTAAATTGTATAGCTAATAAAGTATACTCCATACCCATTCTGGTGAAAATATTGACTTACCAGCAGACAACTTTTCCTGAACCCTTGAGACAATCGCACAACACACCACACATTTTAATTGTTCTTTGTTAAAACGCGTCTTTTTAAACGTTTAAAAAACTATTATAATCTCAATATTTTTTAGTTATCAGTTGTAATTCTAATGTCTTATGTATGTATGTCACACGGTAGAAGAATATTTCATTAGCTTTTCAGATTTGCCTGTAAACTTCATGGATAACTTTATGAAAAAAAGAGAGACACAATTCTCGAAACATTACATTTTCGAAATTTACAATATACCTTACATTATTACAAATTAACCCTTAAATGAGTCATCAAACACCATATCAGAACTTGGAATATTGGAGACCAAGAAATTAGCTTAGAAAATTTCACTTCCACAAATTAGTTAAACAAGTTTTTGTCTTGCGAAATTATCCAAAACAAAAAAAGTAACATCAACTTAGGCGCTCAAATGCTATGTGATTAATTCACTCGTCTTACTACAAAAGTGTTTAATTCTCAGCCGGTTAATAACATGCCTATTTGAAGCTTTAAACCTATGCCCATCGCCTCGACGGCAAAATTTTCATGAAATAACTTTCCAATCTCGCTTTATTAAATAGAAACTACTAAGCAATATCAGTAACACTGAAATCTTCAAATCATTACATTTCTCTTCTTATATTAATTAAAATACAAGGCAAATTTGTTAACTGTAGTTATTCTAACTTAAAGATAGCATTCGCATATAACCGTACGTTAGTGCCATCAACCTGAGAAAGGTCTCAAAATAAAGCTCATTATTTCTTGCATAATCGAGTTGTCTTCGTCGGCATCGGGACTTTTGTGAAAAACAAAAGCAGCAAAGCAAATTAATAGGAAAATTATTAAGGCGATGATCACAATGCAGGCGGTGGCACAAAATACATTGTATCTGCAGCCGCTGAAAGAGAACGGGCAAAAATAATACTCAATTATGGAAAAACTCGCTGAAAATATGCATTTATGTATTTATTTTGCCTTAAAGTGATATAAACAATACACTTTTTCCATACCAACACATCTTCTGCACTTTTTGCTAGCTTTATTTTTTTGTTAAACTGCTTCGGTGATCTATTCGCTTGAGTTCTTGTGAAAATATTTTATTTTGCTTATTCTAATGACATTTTTCGACACTTATTTTCATATATTTTGTTCGAAGTGAAATTCAAAATTATTTGTTTCCAAGTTGATATTTTTATTACTTTTGGTTAGTATCTTTAGTTAAGAAGCAACCCTCTCTACATCAAAATCCTTATATAACGCTTTCTAAACTATTAAACTTGTTGATAGTAACCTCTTAATGGGTTACTGCTCTTACAATCTGTGAGTGGTTATATTGGTTCAGGTCTCATTTTTCAGTCATTCAGTCTCATTTGTCAGTTGGGTGTTGGTTATAGTGTTTAAAGCGCTTCGTTTCAATATGTACCTAGCCTATAGTTTATGGGCGTAACGTATAGAATTTTGGCTAGTATACGTATAATCAAACGATATATATCGGTACGAAGTTAAACAAAGGGAAGTAATAATTTAATTAAGCACTATTTTATACAAGTATATTATATAAATATTTATAAATACATATGCGTGTATATAGTATAAACATCATTGTGATAACACTATTTCTATAGCCTTATATTATGGCCCCAAACATTAAGAACGAACTATTTATAGCATATCGTAAATGAACCCAAATTTGTTCAATAAAACTTTGATTAGATTAGCAGCAGTGTGATTACATTATTTCTTTTATTAAATTCGAAGCTATATTAAAAATCAGTTAAATTTTCTTGTATAAATGTTTAAAAATATTTGTTTAAATATATTAAACTTACAAAATATACAATAAGACACTAAAGTAATGCCAGACAGCCCCAAACTGGCATTAAACCGCATTTATTCCATTTTAGTGTTGTTGCTGGAAGTATTGCTTAAAGGTTGTAGGCGCAGCTGTTATAAGCTGCTGCACCAATTTTTCTTGCTGACCGTCGGAACTATCCTTATGATAGTATACTGTGAAGTACACGATCAGACCGATTATGACAGCTAATACTATGACCGAACAGAATATGCCGAGTATCATATTCAGCGCACATTCGCAGCAGCTGTAAAGAGAAGAGTTTAAAAATTTATTATTTTAAAATAAAGAACTAAATTTAATATGTACTTATTATACATTTCTCTGAAATAAAAAACTAATATGCAATATATGTTATGTACTAGTATGGATCTGTAAAAACGTATATTACAAAGCCAATAATAATATAATAATAGTTCGAGACGATGTTTTCAAAACATAAACTCAATAAGCTTGTTATAAGCCAAGCTAGACGTCACTATAAGCATGGTATCATACTCGACCTTGTTAATGAACTCGGGTTATGTTGGCAATGCAACCGAGGGGCCAAGTGGTCTTTTGCTCTAACCAGCAAGTCCATAAACATTCTAGTTGATAGCCTAGACTTTTAGTAGGTAACTCAGTTAATATCATCTGGGTACTCGGTCATATAGAAGTGGAAAGAAATGAAAGGGTTGTTTGAAGTAGTGAGCCCTGCACCTTAGGTATTGGAACACACTCCTTGGAAAAAAGAAGCTTAGCAATATGTTGGGGGTCATCACAGGACACCTATCCTTAAGATCCACATTCACAAAATGGGAAAAGTGGATGCAACGGAATGCAAGGCATGAGCGGAGGATGATGAGGCGCTGTAGCAATATCTATGCGTAGGCCCGTCTTCAGCCGGATAAGACGAGATATACCACTGCTCCCAATATTCGAACTTAAGATGCATTGGGCAGCTGAGAAGAAAAATAATACGTTTATTCACCAAATCTTCTGAGTTCTTAGATAACACTTAAATCGGTTACCACCCGGGTCCGACGCTTCACCCCACCAACCGACCAATAAAAGTAGAGAACAGACTTCCCTTGTGTAAAATTTATCGACATTGTTACCTGCTGTCCTTAGACCTTTCAGTTGAGCTTATTATCAAACGAGATTATGACGGATTTATTTCACATGTACACTTCTATTATCTGTGAGATTGCTGTTTGAATAACAAATTCAGCGCTTAACCTATATACCTATAATATCAAATGCAATAATTATTTTTGCAATTTTGCGCAGGTGAAGTACATCTGGGATTTCGCTCATATATATTACATATGTATGTGTAAATACAGTTGAATATTTATCTATACGTTGCTAATTATTTCACTTCATATTTATCGTACACTTTACACTACTAGACTACAATGCATTTGCTATCTAACAGTTCTTCGCTTTCCTATCGCTCAAGTAGCTTGACTAATCGTCTCGGGGGTTTCACGTGCTCAGAGCTAGTAATGTGTTTACTGATATCAACAAATTTTTTTCAAAAGTTTCTACTACAACTAAGCAATACATCGAGGTTAATTTGGTGGCCACATAATGTATTGGGTGACAGTTGACAAGCAAATGACAGCGAGTATTGTAAGTTATTACTATATAAGAATTCGATACTTCTATTCAAAAGGGGAAAAATATTCGCGACTCTCCTTATAGTGAACAGATCAATTGAAAAGTTTCAATTCAAGTATATTAAAACCGGTTTTTTGTCGACATGTGACAGTAGATGTTGAAACTTAGCTTCATCATTTCACTTCGAAGCCCAATCGACAGTCATCCGGGCTGTGACTGCACACGATGAACCGGCTCCAAATCGTGAAAAAACGCAAAAGACGGCTGACAAGGTTGTAGCGCCTGTATTTTCGGATGCGCATGGAATCCGCATAGTGTCGCAAAAATTCATACATTGGGCTTCAAATTGCTTCCGGGTCCACCGTTTTCTCCAGAACTGGCCCACTGCGACAATTTCCTGTTCTCAGTACTCAAAAGAATACTCGCTATGAAAAAATGTTCGCTAAATAATGAAGAGGTCCCCCAAACTGAGGTCTATTTTGAAGCAAAGAACATATCGTACTACAAAAATGATATCGAAAAGTTGGAAGGTCGCTGTGCATTGTATCAACCTTGAAGGCAATTATGTTGAAAGAAAAAAATTGCGCCTATAGACTTCTTTTACCAATTTTTTGTTTGCTTAAAACTTATCACATTGTATAATACTTCCTTTACATACTTAAAAATAATAAAAATATAAACTTACCAACAAAAAAGTTTTGCCGGGCATTTCAGACACTCCCACAAACAGTTGCACATTTTGAATATTTGGTTTTAAAAATAATTCGAAACTATTCTACAAATTAGTACACAATTTATTTAATTTAATTATTTTCCGTGTAATCCTCTCGTGCGATTTAATTAGTATTTGTTTCGTTGGTTCGTTCGATGCCAGTGAATCACTAGACGTTATTTAACGGTTATGTAAATGCTTTCCGTTTTTCTCTCCGCAAGTGCGTGACACACGTTATTTCGTTGGCAAACACAAACCGCAACTGTCGCGTCGCTCGAAAGTTATTAGCTTTTTTCCCCAATGGAAAACCTTAACCTGTGCATGATACACATAGAGATAGGAGACCACACCTGAATGTATTATCGAGCAACTCGTGCACTTAACATATTTTAACTTTAACGGGAGTCGAGTGTAACGTGCGTCAACGCTTCAAGTGATTAAAACGACTTAGCATTCATCACCTAAGGGTTAAATAATCGGTGCCAATTATCGCGTTTATTGCAAGGTGTAAAAAAAAAACAAAAAAAGGAAAGCAACTTTTGGACGTGACACATTGTATTATCAGTGCCAATATATCAATGAATCGTATTTATGTGCTGATAAAAAGTGGTATTTGTTACCGAAATGTGTTTCTAAGAACGACGTTATTTATATTTTCTTATCACTATCGATTGGTGCCGAAACAAGCGCAAAATAACAATATGGAGATGAATGTTTGTTCAGTCCACTTCACAGCAACGATTAGGCGGTGTAGTTGTTGGAACACACACTTGAGGGTGAATCCCTCTAGAAATCAACAAATTTTATGACTTTCATAGTCATATTTCATAGGAAATTCAGAGCAGTTATAGTTTTTTGTCGCTCTGACTTATGTTTCAAAAATTCGTTTTTTTCTCTCCACCCTAGTTCCCTTCAAGGGTAATAGCGTCCTTTCATGCCGATTTGTCCTTTCAAAATAGTCCTCAGTTTCGGCGATTATCTCTTCATTCAACGCAAATTTCTTCCCAGCCAGCATACTTTTGAGATATCAGAACAGGAAATAGTTACTGGCCTACAGGTCTGAAGAATACACTGGATGCGGAAGCAATTCGAAGCCCAATTTATGGAATTTATGGGATTTACTGGATTAATATTGTGCAGTCCACACGGGAATTCAGAGTGAAATGATGAAGCTATGTTTCATACATTGTCACATAAATCTGCTTCACTGCTTCGAATCATCAACTTGTCATTGTTTTTAGTCAAAAGTGAGCTCGCGCGGCTTTTACTCATGTTGCACATAGCTTTGTTATACCCAAATATTCGTGAATAATATGTTATACATTTCGTAAATCTTCAGGTCAGTGTGATAATATGGTGTTTCTTATAAGCTCTGCAGTTCGTACTCTTGACGTCAAAAATAGCTTTAAGTTAGTCATACCGACGAACCCATGCAATTACACACAAGTGTCATAATATTGGCGGACAATAATGAATTTTCGAAGGATTAGTTCAATAGTTGACATCTGGCAGGAATTATAATACAATATCGAAGTTAAAACCACTTATCTATATACACATGTATATATACTAAGTATATATAAAACCAACGCACGTACATAAGTCGGTAGCGCGTAATTAGAGCAACTTTTTAGACTGACAATTTCAAAAGAAGCCTATGAGTCATCAGAGCAAAAAATACAATCATATTAATGAGCTTTTCAGTATTAACCCAACTGTTTTTTTTTATATTTTTATCAATATTAACGAAGTGATAAGGAAATTCTGGTTTTTTATGTAAACTCACGCATTCAAAGCTTATTTCAACAATATAACTGATCCAGTTCTTCACTTATAAACTGTAGACGGGCCTGTGGATTGTGTAAAGAGTATATTCAGATGTAGATATGTTTATGAAAATAATATATATGATATACGAATGCTAACTTCGGAGTCTTCACTTGATTTAGGGAGTGATATTGCTCAATAAAGATTTTGGTCGGATGAAATCGAAATCAATCCGCATGCTTAAAAGACCGGTACCCTGTTTAGTCGAGATATTTTTGAAAGGAAGTGGAATTTGAACTTTCTCTGTAATTATTCATCTTTTGAGCAGTTATTTAATTAAGTTTTAACTCCACTTTTCTTTTGAAGAAAATATAATACTTAGTTTTCTAAGCCTTTGTGCGAGCTTTGGTGGTTAGACAGTATTTCACATGTGTTGGATTGTTCTCGTTATAATCCCATCCCATATCGTAACTTGTACATTCCGTACAAGGTTCTTCTCTATAGGGTAAATTACAGTTTTCGTATCTGGTACTAGGGGAGTTGAGATTATAATATAAATATTATTCGACTCTCTATATAAGCAGCGTATAAAGTAGGTTTCAAGCGAGCTGGTTCTCTTTTTTTCTATCGCTTTCTCATAATCTATACGGACTTCTTCTTGAAAAATGGCACCCAACTTCTAGTACCTTTTATAAGTCACTGATTCACTGGTATCAGGTATTTAGCAGGTTAGGGATGTAACAAAATAATCAGTCATTGGACCTTTTTTTGAAAACCTACAAGAATGCAATACAGAAGTTATCCTGGCGGTTTCTTTCTATAATTTTTCGTTATTTTTCAAATTTAACCTCCAAGTTTGACCTTTACTCAGCAAGTTGTAGGTCTTATAAAAATATGGTCAGTTTTTGGACCTTCCTTTGAAGACGTACATAAAATTGCTCCCAAAACCTTATAGAATAGCAAGTTTCATACTGACGTATTTTGGTCATCCTTTTTTCGCTCTTATCAATGTTAATGAAATATTTTATGTGACTATACGTGAAATTATCTTCAAAAAGGGAGGTTAGTTATCAGAGGCTGTTATTTCATTGGTAGCGTTTTTTCCGTGGCAGGTCCTTTCCTTCTCACTCTAGCTTGCTTGGCTTTTTTCTGGCTACCCAGAGGATGCTTGGTCTATGACCGGAAGTCGTGAGCTGCTTGAGCCGTGTGTAAAAGAATAGTTTCTGGCCACTCTCAGTTGATTGGCAATCAGCGAACTTTTCTCACTTGCGTGAACTTCTGCACATGACTCCATCCTTCGCCGGGAAGCAGAGGAAGAGGAAGACATCCATTCCATTGGAGAGATCAATGGAGAAGGGCATGGCTGCACTTTGTATCTCGTATTGGTGTCACATTGCTAAAAGAAGAAACGATTGGCGCGCTATTGTTAACTCGGTTGTAACCGCGTAAGCGCTGTCTACACCATTAAAGAAGAAGAAGGTATGTGTAATCAGGCTAAAGTAATTTTAAAACATTTAGAAGCATTTAATCAGAGTTCGGATTTTACTTGGCTGAATATATTATTTTGAAACACAAATCGCACTATATTCAACGACATTTTGTTTACCAAAATTTATTACACTCGGTCTCGAATTGCAAAGTATTGCTCAAGCAGTAGTTATGTTAAGGGAAGTAGTTTACAAAAAAGCTAAAGTTGTTGTGTAAAGTGGTTGTAGTTTGTCTGCTCCCAAAAAAAAACCAAAAAAAAAAAACAAAAACGACTATCAACTGAGCTGCAAGTTCCCTCTTGGCTAAAGCAACGTCGTTTCGTTAACAAGCCAGCAATCGAGCATTTGATATAGAACACCTTCGCCCAGCTCAGCAGAATTTTCGACAGCCACTTGCAATCGCATGTCGACTGCAACTCTTCCATTAACAAATCGAGGAAAAACCTACAAACTCGTATTCACTCACGTCGTGGCGAAAATATCTTGCACCACTCTTCAATAATTCAGCGGTCAATTGCATTCAGTTGCAAACTATCTACCAGTGCTGGCAGCCGGAGCACCGCCGGAGCGTAAATTGATTACACCGTGTAAAGCAACGGTATATAAAAATGTCACAAAGGCAAACAAGAAGTGCATATGCATATCGCACTATAATTATCTGCCTGATCGGTGTCATGATAACAACACTGCACACCAGCCTCGCGTGGCACTTAGCACAGACCGGCCTTACCGAATCCTATCGCGTGCGCCACCTATCGCTCTATTACTCACGTGTCTTCCTCTGCATTAGCATGGAGAGTGAACTCTTTCCCACATTGATCGCCACCAAATGGCCGGAAAGTTTTGTACCCCTGCAAAGCGCGATATATCCGCATAGATTCGCACACGCTAATGGCAATCGAAGTGACTGTGAATTGATACAGAAGGCTATATGGACGCAGGTGGACAATTTGGGACGTTTGTGGGTGTTCGATGGGGGGTGGGAGCAAATGCCATCGGCGTCTGATGAGAAGGTGGGGAAAACGATGAAAATGTGTTCGCCAAAGTTGCTGGTTTATGACTTGATTCGGAACGATGCAGAGGTGAGTGCCGGGGTTGAAACCGCATTGAAGCTTTGAATTCAAGATATAGGAAAACAATGTAGACAATAACTGTAAAATTTTAGTGAAGTGTTCATCTGTCAAGAAGATAGTGGACGGAGAAAAGTAGATATGTACTTAGACGATTTTCGGCTTTTATTTGGATTTCAGGTTTCCGAAATGCTTTTCTCTGTCACTAATCCCCGCTTAGATAGTAAGGTTCAGGTTGGTGATCAGCGAAGTCAGCTAGGCTCAGGAAATGTGCTGTTCCGACGGAGTCGGAGAAGGATGATAGATGTGTAGAGTATGCTGGGCATGCGAAGAGGTAGTTAGAGTCATGACAGGTCATTTATTCCCAGGGAAGGTGCTGTTATGACAGGATTGGAGATGATAGGTTAAATCATGCGGTGACTCCTTGTATGCTGGACAAATATTTGGTTTGTCCGGGTCGATTCGTCCAGAATAACTCTCTCATTGTCATGGCTTATAGCTGAGCTTTTAATCGTTCCTCTGAAATATCGTCTCTTCAGAAATCAATTTTTAGACCTGAGTCTACTGAAGTCTTCATGGGCTAAATCAATTTTTAGGTCGGAGTCTTGTTAGAATTTCGAAGCGAATCTGGTACCGAAGAGTTAGCAGCGAAGGAACTAGAGATGTAAAAAAGGGAATATGAATATATAATAATTCCTTAATTTCAAGTCAAGGCGAAGTAAATGAGTTCAATGAAACTCTCACAGTAGGTTAGCAGGATTTAGAGTATTTTATTCTAAACATTTAGGAAGACATTGTCTTTTAATTTATATATGTACGAGAAGACATCAAATTAAATAATGGAAAAAATAATGTTAAAAATTATAACGGATTTCTTTATCAACCACCCACACCAACGTGGCAGGTATTGCGCATCGACTGCAGCCGCTATCTAACACCACGTGATAGTGAGAAATTAATAATCAAATTGGGTCCCAGTCCAGCGCTGTGCAAAGTGGAAAAATATATTTACTTCCTACGTCCAGATGACGCACACATACTCGCCTACGATATAGTGGAACAGAAGTGGCGTCGTCGCGCGCTACTCAGTCGCAAATTCCAAGGCATTATTGAAGCACCGTTTCCAATCAAACCAATCGACATCGCTTTCGGCCAGCAGCGTGAGCTACTCTTTACCGACGCGGACGGCAAGCTGTATGCAACACCGAACTCACAATTAAAGACAAAAACAAAGGAAGTGAATGACATCGGCAACGACTTGACTGCGAAGCAATTGCAACAGACGGAGGTGACACCAGATGAAGAGTCGAATTCAATTGAATTGGAGTTGTTGGGCAGTTTGCTGGGTCCCAGCAAGGGTATGATGGTGGATGGGCGCACCGGTGCGCTTTACTATGCCGTACCGAAGTACGGTGCAATCGTGCGTTGCGTATTACAGCGCAATTTAACGGCGGAAGACAATGAGATCGTTTACTTTACATCGAAGAATATACAACAAATATTCTTCGGCGTGGGCGGTGCAGTGTGGTTGTTGACTGACCGGCTGCTGGAACCGGATGATCATTGTTTTTCGAATATTTGATGGTAGCGACGAGTTGTTTTCTGCCGCTTGGGGAAGCGATCTCATCTACATGATATACAAAAATGTA